CTTGAAGTCGTATCGGTTTGGACGAAAAACATATCAAAGTATACCTACAAATAAATGATGACGTATTATTCGATCACTCGGTATCTCGTTAAGCTGTAAATACGACCATGAAATATAATATAATAAATATAATAATACCTTACCCTGTGACGTAGGGCGGCGCTCGATACAGCAGTCCAAAAACAATGGCGCATAATAATAATATAATATAATAGGTATACATCACTCTGTGACAATTTTGTCCAAGGCGATTTGAAATTCCATTGTGTGGCGTGAGTTTCGACAGAGAATTTCAGCTATTCGGTCGAGGCATCGTGTTCCATAATGGTTCTCTCATCAAAGTAACAACAATTTGTCGTCTCCGGTGCAGCCGGAACATATTATGGCTGCAGCTCTTACTCGCCTCGAAGTCTCTTCGGTCCACCGTCTATTAATATCATCATCGTCGTAGTCGTCATCATTATTATTATTATTATCATAATTTTGAAGTCTGTATTCACTGTGTAGTCGTAGTGGTGTATGCGATATCGCGATGTGTATAATATTATGGTACATCATATTATACCCTTCGTATCCCATCCTAACATCTCGGTTTCAAAATATGTGACAGTCGAGACGAATATTAGCCCGCAAACAATATAATACACCTAATAATGTAGTTGTGATATTGTTGCGACTTACTCACTATCATGTCAAACGGCGCATCTTATCGCGTGGTGTTATTTAAAACATATATTTTTTAAGACTATTGCTTGAACAGTAAAAGCATTGAATTTATTTCAAAAATTTACTTTTTAATAGTTTTAGAGTATTTCCTATAAAAGGTACCTACGTCACGGAATTTTAACTTCGTCTTTGTTTTTTTCACCCGTATGTTTGTCCTCGATGAGACCTCAATAAACGTTTGACGCTCAAACGGTAACCTAAGCAATATATTACAATTTATAATATTAATCATAATCACTCGACCTGTACGAAACTAGAATGGACAATAATTATATATTACTTGATACCGAAATACTTCGGACTGCTCATCGACCTACCATTGTGTTTTGTGTGCGCTTGTGACTTGTGGTGGCTATCTCAAAGGTATAGTGTTCTAGTTTTTCAAATAACACCAGCCGAGAGTTCTAGTCATGCGGTAAGGTGTGTGAGTGTATGCGTGTACTTAAAACTATATTTAAAAACAAAAATGGTAATATTAAACTATTATGGTAAATGGTAATATTTAACTACCTATCTTTTTTATTTTTTTATTAATAAAATTTACCCTCGGCGACATAGACCATCGGGATACAAGCATTATTTACATCGAGAATTTATTTCTAATGGTATTAAGACAAGACAGTGTACATATATTTATAGACGTTTTTTATTGTTTGTTTTGAAAGTTTGCTTTTATGATGAATTTGAAAGTGGTTGCGAGTGAGGATCGTTGTGGCTGAGTGATTCTGAAAGGTTTTTCGGAAGTTTAGTGATCAATCTTGGTTTGGTGTATGAACGACATTCCAACATTGATTGTAAGACAGGTGCCGTATGATAGACATATTTTTACTCATTCGATGACTGTTAGTGATTTGCGTGTGCCCGATCCGCATTTGACTTCGAAACAATGTATTACATTATACTATACTAATACAATTGTATGTATTGGTTAAGTTCTATTGATGTAAATGTACCAGTATCGGTACAGTATTGTCGTACTTGAGCCTTTCAGGCGTTTATTAATAAATATTAATAATAATAAACAGAAACATTTTGCTGTGTTATTGGTAAAAAATATTTCTTTAGATTTCTTTTTTTTTTAAATTTTGATATATTTTCTTGATGTTCATTTTGTAAAACTATTTTAGGTCAAAATATATTATGCTTAATATAAGACAATATTTAAAATAATACAATATAATATTCTTAAATTTACAAGTAGAAAGTCGATCGTAGTTTCACCAACAACACTATCAAACACGTGAGGGCGAAAAATATTAGACCAGATCTTTTTAGAATTATATAAAAACCATCACCCTGTATACAACCATGCACACATTACGACAGTGACGATAATACGTTTTGCATGTTGCTTGTTACGTAATCGATGAATTAAAGGAAAACCACATGCTCATATTATCTCAAACGATCGAGCAGCTACCGAGAAACCCTAGAAAATAAAAAAATATTAAGAAAACGACAGCTGTGAAACTACTCGTGTTCAAAATATCGTTTTCAATTATTACGACACAGTTACCTACCTCAGATCGTGCTCAGCGCATAATTATATCAATGAATTGTTAACAATTAATGTCATTGTAGTCATTTATTGTGTTAATTTTACGAGCAGTAAGTTTTTTGAGACGTGACATCGGAACAGGCGTACTTACCACGACGACTGAACTGTGTATACTAATATTATAATATTAATAATGTTATTATACAGTTCAGTGGTACCTATTAAAACTTATCAACTCGCGATTACATAATGTATTAACGTTAGATAACTTCAAAGCGTGTGCCGAAGAAACTGTTGCAGTACAGTTTGTTTCCCATCGAGTATTATTATTATTATTATTATTATGCATGTTAAGTAGTTTTGCATAAATTATAATATTCTCGAAAATCTCTTTTGCCGTCGTCTTGATTCGTGTTATTGGATCAATTAAAGGCATAAATTCCAGTCTTACGTTTCGTTTAAGATCCATCGGTATTTCGTTTGAAGGTTTTTCTACGTACCCGTTCATATAATATTAGGATAGTCAGCGCAGTTAAATATTATATTATAGTTCAAACAAGTCTCTATGATAATATAGTCTTGCATGATTTTCAGTGATAATTCAATAGAAAATATTATACTTATTGTTTTTACGTGTTTGAAGAACCAAACACCTATTCTGTTTTAATAATGATTTATTTATTGAAAATAAATTTAAATAATAATTTATTGATTTATTTATTAATTATTCTTTGAAATAAACGCTAATAATAATAACATCAAGATGTCGCTTGTACGCGTATAGCTATGTATAGTAATTAACGGTAGGTAGGTGAAACGAAAAATTAAAATGAAACTGGAGTATGGTGGAAATAGACGAAAAAGAGAAAAATAAGTTTCTCTCCTCTCGCCCTGTTCATATATTGTCTTCGGGCGGTATCCACGACCTTTTTGTGAGTATTTCTTCGAGTTTTTTTCTGTTTTCGTTCGTCTACCCTGAAAGAAATGTGCCGAGTTTCTACCTAGACAATACCGACTCAGTAAGGCCCATTATTCTTTAAAATAAACATTAGTAATAATATGAAGATGTCCCGCATACGCGTATAGTTAGTAATTATAAAAACTGAAAATAAAAACGTCCAAGTCGAGTAGTCGAAATAGACGAAGAAGAAAAAGTTTCTCTTGCCCGGTTCGTATTGTCTTCATGTGGTATCCACGACCTTTTTGTGAGTATTTCTTCGTTTTTTTTTTCGGTTTTCGTTCGTTTACCCTGAAAGAAATGCGCCGACAAATTTCTACCTAGACAATACCACAGCTATATACTTAGGCATAAATTATGCATAATATGTGTGTACGAATTTATAGAGCTGCTGTTGCGCGGTCTGCGTCGTGTTCTCGGAAACAAACCGTGTACGGTATAATATTATTAACATCTTCGTATACCGTGGTAATATAATAATAATATAGTCGCGTATTACGATAATGACGATGTGTACTGCACATATAGCTTTGTAGGCAGCCACTCGTCTACCATATTATACTTTTGTCGTACACAAAAGATCGGGGTCAAGTAGTATATGAAATTAAATGCCTCCTAACGACGACGTTTTACAACTGCACATAATGTATAGGTAGGTGGTTAGGTTGGGTTAGGTTAGGTTAGGCTATGTGCTATAGGTACATATATGGTACGGATCGCATGCCGGCCGAATCGCTACCGTCGATGACCTGATTAGTATCGCAGAGTTTTAAGTGAGTGTGATGAGGGTATATTATGATATTATTAACTACATATGTATATACGTTATAACGAGTAATACAACGTGGACGTTTAATAATAATATTATAAGGTCGTTATGCGACGACGACGATGATAATAATAATAATAATAATATTATAATAACGTAGCGCCATCATAATATAGTGCTCCCGTAATCATATTATTCGCTCGCCTTCGCGTATCTGCGAAACGCATTATCGACGATTATAATGATATGATATTATAATATATTATTGTGCTGCACCCGCGAATCCGAAATCATGTAAAGTACCTACGTACGACAACCATGACCTATTCTCTTTGGACGGCACGAATGCACACGATGTCATATAGAATACGTTTTATATACAGGGTGATTACGATATAGTCGGGGTCCTAACCGCTTGCACTCGGTATCGAAACAACTGCCATACAACTGCCTCGACCATCGCTCAAAGACAGCAGCATAATATTATTGCGATTGACTGACCAAGTCATGGCACACTATTGTGATAAATCGACTTCGTATCGGAACCGACACTATTGTGATAAATCGACTTCGTATCGGAACCGACTTTGAAAATAATAGTGTTGCAGAATATCTTGCATGTGTTTTTCATTACAGCGGCAACTCCTGCAGGTTCCGGGATTTTCGGTTCACATATTTTTTTTTTAAGTACCTTCGTGCAATGGTGGAATTTCACATTTAAAAATTGTTATAAACCGTGGTGGGTATAGATAATAAAAAAAAAAAATAACGGTCAGATCAAACCGTTTGATGGCACACTGTATATACGACGTACAGGCCACAACTCAAAGTATGGCTGTATAGGTGAACGACAGCTGCAGCCTGTGAAATGTTTGAATATTTTATTTAATCTGACGACAATATTCGTACCGGGATTCACGTGCAAGTGGTGGGAACGAAAACCCGAGACGACATATCGGTTACGTGCTGCAGACCGCACGACGATCGACACAGTATCACGCGCGACTCGCCACTGCAGCATCAACAGGTCAACGCGAATAGAACACGCGATGGTCACCACCGCCGCGACGTCGGGTTACCGCGGTCGCGGTTCGCGGAAGTCCAACGGTCGTCGTCCGGCGGCGGAGGTCTTGATGGCTGTATCCGTGCTGGCACTCGGCCTATTGTCGCTGGTCGGGCCGACGGTCGACGGCCGGCGAGCCGACAAGCGCAGACACCACTGGAAGGTGAACGTGATCAAAAACCATTTGAAAAATCACAAGAGTCTCGAGGGAATGGTGCGGCTGGTCGACGGCGAATCCGAATACGAAGGTAGGTACTTACCGATAAGTTATTAGAAAAAATAGTAATACGAAAATATAATTATAAAGATCACGTAAAAGCTGCCGAATTAACGATACGGGTTACCACACCTTCACCTCAGATACTACGCTTGGACCCAACAATACTCAAGTGTTTGAAATTTTATTTTTTGATAAGACGAGTGATTTAGTATCGTTTTTATAACCTACATTTTAAAGAAAACCAGCACGATTTGGTTTTGAGTACTTCATACTAAAAAAAGGTGGGTAAGTGGATGTCGCTCTGCTGTACAGTAGGTTACAAGTGGGTCACTGTATAATGGATGGTATTAAATTTGAATTCAATGATATAATATCATTGTATAAGAAAAACGATTCTGAGCGGTGACGGTATGTCAGTCTATGTATAAGACATATTATATACATATCTATGGTATTAAACAAAAAATTGACCTATAATAGGTACCTATAATAAATTCCAAACTAATCATATCACAATATCCATTAGATACTTATAACGCGTTATACATCAACAAAAACCGTGATACTATCATAAATATATAATAGTACACTTTAGAAGTTTCAAGTACCCACGAATAATATTATTCAATCACAACAAAATAACTAAAATCGTAATTCTTGGTTTAAATATGAAATTTTGTCTAAATTTGAAATTAAAATGTCTGTAAAAAATAAGTGTGTTTATATATTTTTTAGATTTTTTGGTTACAGTATGAATTATTTAAGATAATCTTTGTTTTAAATTTTCAACTCTTAGTTATAAAAACTGAACATTTTATAATTTTTTAATTCAAACGATTGATAATTTTCGATATTTTGATAAATTTTGTCAAAATTCCAACTTTAAATGCCTATAAAAAAAAATCGTGCATATATATTTTTAATATTTTTCAACTGATATTGTAACAATATATCAGGAGCCTTGTATTAAATTTTTACACTTTTTGGCCCAACAGATAAAACTTAATTGATATTTATAGAAAAAAAAAACTAAAAAAATTGAAAACTGAAAATGTCCATTAACAGCTCAAAAAGAGTCAAAATATTTTCAAAATTGTACGGTGTATAGGAAATGCTAATCTGAACATTCAGTGAAATTTTCATGTATCTATAGTTATTCGTTTTTGAATAACAACAAAATAAGAAAATCGCTACATGACAAATCGAGTGAATATCCAATGTTGTAAAAATTTTAATTTCAAACGCTCATAAAAATTTAATTTGACTTTCTTATAGAATTTTTTTTTTGATAAATGTTGGAAATCTTATAAGGAATCTTGTATTACATTTTCATATCTTAGATTTAAAAAGAAAAATTTTTATGAATTTCTAACTCGAAATAATTTGCAAATTTTCGTGATTTTTCCATATTTTGTCATTTTTTGAACTTTAAATGCTTAAAAAAAAAAACTGTGACTAACGATTTTTAATATTTTTCATCTGTCTTTGAAACAATATAGTAGGAGCCTTGTATTAAATTTTCAAGTATTTTTACTTAACAAATAAATTTTTATTGATATTCATAAAAAAAAAAACTAATAAAATTGGAAACTGAAAATGTCCCTAAACAGTTCAAAATAAATCAAAATATTTTGAAAATGTTATCGTGTATAGAAAATGCAAATATAAACAACCACTGAAAATTTCATGTATCTACGGTTATTTGTTTTAAAGTTACACCAAAAACCAAAATCGATTTTTTGGAAAACCGATTTTGCGTAAAAATTCCCGTTTTTCCTTAATTTTTATGTTGTTTTTCCCGGCGCTCTTGAAAACTACTGGGAAATTTAAATTTTGACCTCCCCAATGCACCAACGATATTCACTTTCCAATCGAACAAGATACTGAAGTCGAAAATTGAAGCATTATTTCGACTACTTATCGTCTACACAGACACAAAAAAAAAAAAAAAAAAAAAAAAAAAAAAAAAAAAAAAAACACACATCATTGTAAAATCAATACATTCATCGTTTCACTCAGAATCTAATAGTTGGTACTTTATTCCTATTTTTTTTTAAATTTTTAATCACTTATTTTTAACACAATTTCTTAGTCAAAACTTAAAAGGAACTATTTTTGTTGACCGAACTATTTGGATAGTAAATTTTTTATTTTAAATTCTAAAACAAACTCGGCATTAAATACATATTAAAAACAAAAATAAAATTATAATTTTTAAAAACGTGCAGTTATTATTAAATTTATTATCATTAAACACAAGTTGGTCTTTTTTTTTCTTTTACTCTTTAGATTCATAGACATTTCATTATATGTGCATTGAGTACTCTATAGTTTTGATAATAAATAATAATATGTAATTTTTTTTTATAAAAATTTATTTTGTTATCTTATATTTTATATTTATAAACCATTAAACCTGTGGTTATTCACTCTGGTCTATAATGGAAAACACGTCGTTATCCATCAATATTGTCATCTGTACAGTGTCCACATAAAAAAAATGTCATTATTAACTATGTTATGGTCGTGCACAAAATGGTAGGTATACGTACTATTATAATATAGGTCGAACCTTAGTGGTGAGTTAAGTGTAAGTAGTACACATACAAATTATCGTTTCTAATTTTTTAATTTAGTACCTATTCGGTGATACATAAAAACCGTACAGTTTATCATATTTTAATAAGGATCACGTGCGTTCTTGAATTGTCTTCGTTTAAACAAGACAAGCTGGAAGACGTCGACGCGAATGGTATCGTGAGAAATATCGATTAAGTAAGTCATGATAGGATGGAAAAAATCGTTGTTCATTACGGAAACCCATTTTTGTGTATTTATTTATTTAAATTTTGAACGGACCAGGCTTAACAACGTAACTTGAGCAAGAACAGCAATCGTAGATATGGTTGTAATATAGATAATAATAATACAATGCAAGTTAAAAATAAAATAATAAATACGTACAGCTATTTGAACAATTACCAAGTATTAAATTACAATACATCTTTAAAAGACTAAGTTTGGTGAGATGAACAAATTATTGTTATTTCAATGTAAGGGGTATTCTTAGTTTTATGTTCAGATAAAATCGAACATAAATCGAGTACTCCGAGTAAGAGCAAGGAAGGGAAACCATTTAAGAATTCGCGACAGTCAATATTATTTCCGTCGAAACGTTCAATATAATATTGAAAGTATATAATAAATTTAAAATCTCAAAAGACGCGTTGTTCCAGCTATTGTGTGGAGATTGGTAATAGATATGATTATTGGGGAGAACGAAAAATACGGATCCTCGGATATAGAACTTGATTTAAATTTAGAATTTTTTCTAATTTACACATTTTTTAAGACCTGATCGGTATGGTTACCACAGTGCATGGACCATAGGTACATAAAATTTACAAATATAACGTACCGCAAAGATCAATAAATGGATTTTAAAGCACAGTCATCGTCATGAAAGTCAGCACGATTTTGATGAATGAAACCTTAGGTTTCGTTCGAAATGTTGGCAAAGTAATATTTTATTGAAAATAAAAAAACAGCCCTTTCGAAATCAGCAGGAACACCTCGCCGGGAGAAGACTCGATATAGACATTATATAGTCGTGTTGAAGAAGCATTTACCGTATTTGGGAATGCGGTGACTACACGTGTCATATCGACACGTTCACGGCGATAATATTCGATAGGTGCCTACATGATATTATTATTGTGTAATGAAGACGTCGTATGGGAATTTAGCCCACTCGGGTAATCGAGTGGGCCGACCATCATTATACAGGCGCCCGATGTCTGCGGCCGATGATCACGACCGTCGAAGTTTGTTGTTTCGTCAATCGTAAAATATAAAAAAAAAATACTTTATACTCACGATTTTTATATTACATTATACATAGCGATTCACCGAGCGCTATAACTCACCTTTTTATTCTTCGTCGACAATGCGCGGTTATTCAAAATCTGATTTTCGGAAATTGTATATAAATTATTATAGAAGAACCTACTTATAAAGACCATCGTAGTATTATAATTATTGTCCGATTCTCGAGATTTCTTGTTCTATACCGAACAACGAGTGTCATTTGTAGATACAATTTTCTGTTTTTCAAACGACAGCACACCCCTTTCCTACCGTGAGTTTTTTAGCTGGTAATTTTTCTCGGGATTTTGAAGTATCAAAATAAAAATTCAAACCAATAGTTTTCTAGTTGCTTAACTCAGCGTGCTAAGCACATACAATAGGTTCACGCGATAACGGGTTATGGAATATTTGAGGGCTATGTGAATTTTAAAATGTCAATAGTTTATAATATTATTCCATCAATATTTATAGTCTATAAAAATGGTCGAAGTATTATAAATACTAGATCCAATATTAAATCCACTTAATAATTTAAAGTGGAGGAGGGGGGGGGTACTGTTTCGAAAAACAGAAGTCTGTACAGCCACCTGCTGTGTCCTGGCGTAATCCTACGCCTTAAGCAGTTGGTTGGTAAAAACAATTTCAGGAAATTGAAAACTCGGTCTCCATAAAATCATCATGGGTTCCAAAAATCAAAATTTGATTAAATTAATAAAAAACGATGGTGAGCGTGCTCGGTGAATCATTCTGTATATAAACGTACACTGACGCCAAGCCTTATCGACGAGTCGCCTCGCGACGACCATACTTATTATACCTAGGTACATTATGTTGTGCGCGCCTCGCCGTCATCGTAAAACGTCGCGACCATCCATAATTCATCAATTTTTACGACGGTTTTACCTGTTGTAGCCTGTAGCCTACACTTATCGAAGTGAAATAACATTATATCTGGTACCATAACATTATTGAGAAGTACGAAAACTAAGCGTATTATGACGTTCGTGTAAGATCAAGGCGTCGTCCAGGACCTGATTTAAACGCATATAATATAGAGTGGCTTCTCAAATCGACACCTGCTGAGGTGGTTGCCCGGACTATGATGTGTGTTAATTTGAATATCAGGAAAATAAAAATATTTATCAGTAGTAATAGGTTAGG